CACAAACATCTCGGCCAGGCCTTCCCATGTCTTTATGCTTCCTTTTGGTAATTTATGGAATCAATCAGATGCAATTTCCCCAAAGGATGAGGGGAATACTTTGTAGAGCAACGGCTCGTTTCCGCTATATAACGCCATTGAATTCAGGTATAGTCCAACATGAAAGTTTGGATCTGACTTACCATCATAAATTTGAAACCTCAGCATATTGAATCTCTTTGGTGGTTTGAATTTGTCCAATTCCACCGAGAAGGCTGTCTTCGGCTTTACTGGGGAGTTTACCTCGGCTTCAACATTCTGCTGCCTCCTTCTGAGGTAGTCCCTCAGGTCTTCTTTGCTCCTCCCTAGAGCTCAGCTGTCTTTGGATTTTAGCCTTTTTGGTACACTGCTTTCGGCCTTGTGGTGGGCCCGTTTGGATCTTTCTCCACGGGTTGTGTCAAAGCAGAGTGCTTGCCCTTGAACATGCCGATGTTCTTTGGGCTCTGGATTCTTCATGTGGTGCGTCCTTCGGGACTCTTCTTACCTCGGCTCTTCTCGTTCGACTTCCCTGGAAGGGCGGTGAGAATGCCTTCCACTCCTGGTATGCTGAGGGACCTCGGGGATTGTTTTTCTTTCGCCCTTCTGGGTGTTGGTTGCTGGCATCGGTGTATCTTGCAGCGGGTATGGTGGCTGCATAACATTATTCTGCATCATGAAGTTGACGACTGACTGAAGGTCTGCCAACTTGTTCGCCAATTCTTTCACTTCCTCATCCCTGCGTAGGCACTTGTCCCTCCATACCTGGAGGTTATCTTCGTTGTAGTACTTTCCTTGGTTTGTCCTTTTTGACGTGTCGCCCTCCTAGATGACGTCTTTCTCTCCGTGACCCTAGTCACGGGCTTCTGTATTGTGGTTGTCTCCTTCAATGTCAAGGTCAATTGGTCTGCCACTTCCAGCGGGAACGTCATCCCCAATTTCCTGCTGTCCGTTACTGGCCATCTATTCTTCCTTCGTTCCCATTACATTGGTGGGACGTTATGTGTGAGGGGCATCGGAACACGTCAGCATGATGTTAACGTTTGCGTTGATAGAATCCTTAGAGCATCTTGAAGGTGATAATTAAAAAAGACTTGTTAGATATTTTAGCCAATATAATTCTAATTTTAAGTTTCAATGGACTGATTATTGAGTTAGCTATTTTATCATCCTATTTTTTTGGTAGCTACAATTGAAGAGCTCTAGAGACTCTTCAAACAAATATGTAGGTATATATCTTGGCTTTTTATATATTTATGTCTTGAATTTGGGATTTTACATATGTATATGTGTATATAGCAATTTTATATATTGTTTCAATTCTGTTTGATGAATTACGGAATAACTTATTTTGTATTTTGTATTTTTTTCCTCATTCTATAAGTTTTGTATGTTTTTATGGGGAAATTTATTATTATTGCAAATTTATATTAGTAAAATATCAACAATTAGTATTTTTTGTTTTAAAAATGAATTAAGTTAGTTTGAATGATTAACTAAAATAAATAGTATGGTTGGAGAACACAATAACTAAAATAATTAAATAAAATAAATAGTGTATTTTTTTTCGTACTTTAGCTAGTGAAAATGGATAGTGTGGTTGGAGTAGAATTTTTCATACAACTCAGGAAATTTTGTAGTGGTTGATTTGATTTTTAAACATGGTTTAAATGATAAAATTAAAAAAATTAAAGGAGTGTTGGAAATGATTTAAATAATTTTTTTTTAAACGAAAAAATATATGAAAAAATAAAAAAAAGCAATATGATCCAAATAAGTATACTTATATAAATTATGCCAAACACTCCCTTACTTGGTTAATTTGTTTTGATAATCTAAACCGTTCAATGTGTAGAAATCGTCGAGTACTATATGCCTGTAAAAAATCACGTTGATCGAATATCGATAACTATGTGATCAAAACAGTTTTTTGTCAACCGTTAATTTGTTCACCGTTTCATTTTTTTAATACGAAATTGATTTGATCATATAGTTATCGATATCCGATGAACTTGATTTTTTACAGGCATATAGTACTCGACAAATTCTACACATTCACAGTTCAGATTATCAAAACAGGACCCGTGGTGAACCCTCATAAACCCAACAATACGGTTCAATCCGATTCCGGACTGAACAGAAGCCATTCCTTTGTATTTCTATCTATGTGAAGCCCCATTCCATTGAGAAGTAGCTGCCAAGGCAGGCACGTCGTCGAAGGCCCCCACTTCTGGCACGTCTGCACTCCGCAGCTTTTTTGGAGACACCACAAATCCTCTCTATCTGTGTTTCTGCGAATGCTTTGCTTTGCTTTTTATTATTAACATCGAAGCAAATAGGCAAATAGCGTATCATCGTCCCCCTTTTTTCGCCTCTCTCACCCTGTCTCTCTCACTTTCAACGGTCAAATATTGGGGCCCTCACCAACGGTATAAAATATAAATAAGACTATACGTATGAATTAATATATTAATTAATGTAACATAATTTTAAAAATTTTAAATATTTATAATTTAATTAATAGATAGAATAAATAATAATAACATAACACTAGTTGGTATATTAATAATATTTTAATTGATACATGTAATACTATCGATAAAATATTCATTTAGAGACATTATACTATTTGGTTAATAGAATAAAGGTTGAGAATTTTAATTTTGAAATTTTAAAAAGAACTCTAATGATGTGGTAATGGGAGGGGCCACATGTGATGTAATGTGTGTGTTTATATTTTTATTTTTTTTATTTTTTTTCTTCTTACCACATCATTGAAGCTCTCTTTAAAATTTTAAAATTAAAACTCTCTATCGTTATTGTTGATTAATGATAACTACAGTAGTTTTCAAAGACCCTCACATTTTTCGAGCCACTTGTTTTGGAGTTTGTAAAGCCCGGACTCATGGACTAGGGTTCCATTCCATCTGCAGCAATCTCCCCCTCCCTCCACTAGATTAGCTATCTTTCTTCATCTTTTTAAAACATTATAATTTTTATTTTTAAAAAAAAATCGTATTTAAATAATAACTAAAAATCACATTTAAATAATAACTAAAAATCATAGCCAAACATGGCCTAATACCGAAATCACATAACACAACTAAACATATTTTTTGCAATGCAATTCCCAAAGCTGGGAAGAAAAAAACACACATGAAAGCAGAAAGCAGCCCTGTGCTGTGGCCAATGCTATTAAAATAAAAGCTCAGTAGACCACGATACGACCAACAACCTTTTACACACACTAACGCCGTTTCGGCTACGAAACTCACACTCAAGCCATAAAATACATTACATTAAACACCTCCTAATAATGTCACTATATAAATAAATAACAAGGCTATGTAAATAACACTTTCATCACAACGTTAGGGGCTCGAGCCTTGGGTCTCAACCCCAAAACCACTACTCGAGCCATATAAATAGAGACACCAATGAGGCCCCTTTAGAGCTGCCCAAATGAGTGAGCAAGATAAGACAGTGCTCCTACAAGCGGTGCGTTGATGTACGTCGCGGGTTCTGATTGCTCGTAATCTGACCGTTGATCGGGGAATCGGTCATTCTGATCGGGCCCACCAACTACGGCCCCCACTAGGATGTTTGGGTTGGGGGACTGGGAATTCATGATGTTGAACCCGGATGAGCATTGGATCTTTCCCGGGTGTGTGGCGATGGACGGTAGAGATGATCCCCTATGGTGGATCCTCAGAGGGTACCTTGGACCGTACCCCACCATGTAGGACATTTTCAAGGGGTTGTCTCCTAGCAAGTAGTCCACCTGTTAAATGTAACACATTCAAAAGTATCACAACTATAATTTGATAACCATGCGCTTATGAAATCAATCTTATGCTTTTTCACCACATTTATCACCTCCCCTCACAATGAGGTGAGTCTTACTCATATTGTGAGAGGGTGGTGAAAATATATGTTAGTGTTTTTTTAATCTCTTTCTGGTCAAGAATTTTCATATCATAGAACACTTATAATCATTGAATCACATAAAATTCTCAACAAGTGAAAATTTTGAGACATCAAATAGTCATTAGTGAGTGTTTTGAAATAGGAGGACAAAACAATTTTAATGACAGAATATTCCGTGCCTCTTTTGCTTATACCTGTTTTTTGGCGATGAATCGGAGCCTATTGGGGGTGACAACTGCACCACCACAATTGACGACCTTGTGGGCGGAGGTTAAGTATTTGGCGTAGGTTAAGAGGAGGAAGGAGGTGGATGTCACATACTGCATGTTACTATCATTCATCTTGAACAAAAGCCCACCTGTAAACAGTGAAAATAGCCGTTACTAATCATATACCTCCATCTGCTCTATATATATGTATATATGTTACAGAGAGAGAGAGAGAGGGACCTGGGGTGTACTGGGCTTGAGAGGAGGGAGTCCCTGGTATCAGGGAACAGATGTAGTTATCTGCATGACCTTTGTAATCATGGAGGGATTGAAGCTTTTGAACAAGAAATGCCTGAAAAATTGCAGTACAAAGCACAATTTCAGTTTAAAGCAGAAAAATGACAAGTGATAAAAATTGGAAAAATTTAGGAAGCCCAAAAATATCCAAAAATAAAGAGTGACAGAAATTATCCCAAAAAAAAAAAAGCTTGAGACACCTTAAAACATCACTTGCAAATTTATCCCCTCCTACAAATTTACATAATTTTTTGGGGTAAAAAATCTTATGACCCCAAATCTATCTGTCTCCCCGTCCCAAAACACATCCAATTACTGGATCAATGAAAATCTCAAGCTGCAGTAAAAAAATATGACCTTGGAGAGAAGAATCCTGGCTCCAACATGCTTGTTATCCCACCCAAATGTATTATCAGACTCATCAGCTCCAAGGGTTTGGCCATTGACTTGAATGTACTGGAGGTACATTGGGTTCTTGGTGGCTCTGTGCAACCAAGCAGCACCCCACAACAGCTCATCCTTCAAAATCAGCACACCATAGAAAAATCAAAAGAAGATCAAAGATTAAAAAATGGTAAAATTTTCATAAAAACAACATAAGATTTTACCTGATAACCAGAGAAAGAGCAATAGAAAGGACACACAACTTTCTTCAACCCATTGCTATAAACACCTCTGTACTTATCAGCAAACTCAAAGACCTAAAAACCCAACAAGCACATTATAAAAATAAAATAAAATAACAGAGTTCCCCTGTTTTTATCAGAATGCTCTGTTTTTTTTTTTTTTTTTTTTTTTTTTTTTTTTGGGAGTGTTTTGAAGTTGTTAATTCAATATGTATACCCTGATAGCCCTGGTGACAAGAAGCTTGGCATAAGTGGGGTCAATTCTTCTAAACACCAAAGAAGCAGCTGCAAGAGCAGAGGCTGTTTCAGCTGCAACCTCAGAACCAGGGGTATTTCTGTCAATCTTGAACACATTTCTTGGTGTGTCCATGTCTTCAGGTCTCTCCCAACAAGCGTGGTCCTTGTTTGCATCACCCACCTATACACAAACCAATATCCATATTACCACTTCAGTTTTTTTTTGGGCAAATAGACCACATTATGTAATTCCCATTACATAAAAGTGTTTTTGGAAGCAGTTTGTCCCTCAAATAAATTTATGGGTTTGATAAAATAAAATAACAACAATAAACACAATACAACTTCAATGCAGACAATTACAAATTTAGGAGTTTGATAAAAATAAAAAATAAAAAAAAAAATACTCCAATGCACACATTACAAACGTGTCTTTTTTCTTTTTCTTTTTTCCATTATATCAATCAAGGCATGTTTTTGGAGACAGTTTGCCAAACTAATGTATGTGTTTGGTAAAAAAACTCCAATGCACACTAAGATCTCTGGTTTTTTTTTTTTTTTCTTCTCCAATAATTTATGAATCAATGATTCCACAATAAACCATGAATGTAATTCCCATTCTGTACAGTAGGAAATGCACAAAGATCTGAAGAAAACAGAGCAGAGAAAGCACAAACCTGAACATAAATGGTGTCTGGTTGAGCAGTGGCTTTGAGAAGGTAATCAGTAGCCCAGCGAATGGCTTCTCTCGCATTACACAACTCGCTTTTCATCAACCCACCAAACTCAATCACACTCCATGAAAGCATGGTGGCCGTGAAAGCCATGGGAAACCCAAACTTCACATTGTCCCCTGCATCATAGTACCCTCCCACTAAATCAACCTGCATTGTCACATTCACACCCAAATAAGCAAAACCCAGATCGATCCTTCAACTCTACAAGGAAAAAAGTAAAGAAACAGGGCATTAATGAAGGTTGCATTGTCACATTCACACCCAAATAAGCAAAACCCAGATAGATTTTTCTACAATACGAGCAAAAAAGTGAGGAGTGCTAAATAGCGTAATAGAAGGTGGCATTGTCAAATTCACACGCAAATAAGTGAAACCCAGATCGATTCTTCCACCATACGAGCAAAAAAGCGAAGAAACAGTGCGTTAATTAGTGTAATAGAAGGTGCATTGTCACATTCACACCCAAACAAGTGAAACCCAGAACGATTCCTCCACCATACGAGCAAAAAAGTGAAGAAACAGAGTGCTAAATAGTGTAATAGAAGGTGGCATTGTCAAATTCACACGCAAATAAGTGAAACCCAGATCGATTCTTCCACCATACGAGCAAAAAAGCGAAGAAACAGTGTGTTAATTAGTGTAATAGAAGGTGCATTGTCACATTCACACCCAAATAAGTGAAACCCAGAACGATTCCTCCACCATACGAGCAAAAAAGTGAAGAGACAGTGCTAATTAGTGTAATAGAAGGTAAATATACATTCACAGCTGAGCCATCAGAGAGACCAGAGTCTCTCCTCCAAGTGATCCTCTGGTTAGGAGGGAGCTTTCCAGACCTCTGGCCTTCGAAGTATAGGATGGATTTGGAGAGAGCGTCCCTGTAGTTGTGTCCGGCGAAGCGAGGGTGGCGAAGGTGGTGGCGGAGAGGGCTGTGTTGGGCGGAGAAGGCAGTGCAGAGGTGGAGAGAGGTGGTAAAGGAGAAGAGAAGGAAGAAGAAGAAGAGAGAAAAAGAGAAAACAGAAGAAGCCATTTGGGACTCAATGCTATGCTCTGCCCAAAGAGTGAAAACGAAACCCAAACCAACCAACCAACCAACTAACCAAACTGCAGAGGCGCAGAGGGATCAGTGAGGAAGTCTCTCTGTATTTATAAAGTAAATAAAGCTGCTCGTGTAACGTCCTCCCTGCTTGCTTGCTTTCAATAATTATTAAGCCCACCTTCTCCATCTGTGTTTTGGGTTCAGTTCATTAATGAAGTATTACTCAGTTTATTTGGGTTTTTTTCAAAAATATTTGAAGTTAATTTGATAAAAAAAAATATTATTATAATTAAATAAAAACATTTTCATATTTTTGTTTAAAAATAATTTTTGAAATTTTTTTTAAAAAATTGTGTTTATTTTTATCAAATTAATTTTTAATATTTTTCAAAGGATAAATTTTTTAAAACAAAACCAAACTTACGTTTACAAGAGGGTATTTATTATCCAGCTCTTCTATGTACATTATATCCAATTACAAAATGAACTACAAAATATTTTATACAATACTCAAACCGACGTGGAAATCACACACCATAGAATTCTCATGAATCTCACACTTATGTAAGTTATTGGGTAGAATATTTAGTATTCAGTAATGTTAAAAACACAAAAACCAAACACACAATGGACACCAATGTCTCTCAATAGGTGAGTCTTACATCATGTGAAAATAGCCAATTGAGAAGGGAAAAAAAAATCTACAAAACTCAAATGAACAATAAGTTTAAGTGCATAAAAAACTAAACACAAAATGAGACACATATGTTTCATAAAAAGTGGGTCTCACATATGGATCCTGCATCATGTGCACCTAAACTTATTGTTCATACACATGTGGATCCTGTATCATGTGCACCTAAACTTATTGTTCATACACACGTTAGACTCATTCTTTGTAAGACATTTGTATCTCATTCTATATTTACATAGTGAATACCACACTAATATGATAGAATTATTCAGCTTGTTTGTTTTCATTTTTCAAAAAACACTTTTCAGAAAATTCTACTTTCTTATCTTTCGTGTTTTTTTGTTTTTACTGAATTTTTTTAATAGTTTAAGCTATTTTTTTTTACTCTTTAGACACACCTAACATAAATATACCTAAAAAGTAAAAAAAAAAAATTGTAAAAAAAATCTTTTAGAAATTCACTAAATACCAAAAACACAAAAAAAAATTCAAGAATTCAGTACATTTTTTATATTTTTATGTATTTATTAATTTTTTAAAATATTTTTTCACAATTTTTTTACTTTTTAGATACATCTAAGTAAGATGCATCTAAAAAGGTAAAAAAAAATGTTTAAAATTTTAAAAATATTCACTAAAAACACAAAGACATGAAAATCAAAAAAACTCAATTTTCAAAAAACTTAATCTAAAAAACTTAAACCAAACACACTGATTAATACCTTCTCTATTAATTTTGTAAATCAAACATGGCTACAAACTCACAAGAGTCATCATAAATTTGTCTAGAATTTTAAATTAGTAATTTATATTTACCTTTATTATTATAAAATTAAACCATTAATAAATCTCAGCCTTTAACTGCAATTTCTGTATAATTTTATGAGTTTTTATTTTTGAGAGCATCTCCAATGCACTAGGCATATAATGCTTGTTAGGTAAAATGCCTAGTATGACTCACTTTTTTCAACTCCAATGCACTAGGCATGTAATTAGGCATTTTAGCTCAACTCAAATTCACTAGCTACATGTAGCTAGCCTTCAAGGCTAGGCAAAATGTATTTAATCATTAGGATTATTTCCCTCCATCTTTGTTGCTGATGTGGCATTTTATAAAATTAATAGTATTTGGATGAATAGTTAAAATAAAGAGCATGGTTGGAGCAGAAATATGAAACAGTTGATAGGCAAAATAAAATGTATACTTTATAGTAATATTTAAATAGGTAAAATGCCTATTACCGTTGGAGATGCTCTAAGGCTCTTTGATTTTGGTTCACAGACTTCGGTGAACCTTCGGCTTACTAAGGCCTAGTTTGGAAAGACTAAATAAGTGTACTTTTTGACTTTTTTGGCTACAAACTCACAAGAGTCATCATAAATTTGTCTAGAATTTTAAATTAGTAATTTTTATTTACCTTTATTATTGTAGGATTAAACCATTAATAAATCTCAGCCTTTAACTGCAATTTCTGTATAATTTTATGAGTTTTTATTTTTGAGTTTGTAAGGCTCTTTGATTTTGGTTCACAGACTTCGGTGAACCTTCGGCTTACTAAAGTATCCAGAAACAGTTAATAATTTGTTTGGCATGAAAGTTTAGGTTGGGTTTGAGCTATTTTAATTAAAAAAGATAAAATATATTTTTTTCGTTTAATAAAATACTGTGTCACATTTAAATTATAATTATTTTATTTTTTTCTCACAAAAATTTAAAGAGTCAAAAAATTATTCCAAATAAAACTTTTTAACTTCAGATTAAAATAATTAAAAAGTCAAAAAATCAACTCTTATCTTAAAGAAAGCTTAGGATTGTTTGGGGTGTCATAAATAAGTGTACTTTTTATCTTTTTGGACTAAAAATTTGAGGAAAAAAAGATGGATGTTTAGGTTAACTTTTTGACTTTTTATAAAAAAAATGTGTATTAAAAAATTATATAAATAAGTGTATAGGAGAAGTGATTGAGTAGCCCGTACATTACCTGGGCAGTGTAGCCAACTGTTAGGAGATGGAAAATGGTTGCCTCATTTTCGAGCTTGAATTGGATGGTGTTGTTCCGCCTGTGTGGGCCCACCACGGATCCCATTTTGCTAATCGGAACCGATCAATATGTAGAACTCGTCGAATACTATATGCTTGTGAAAAATTCACATTGATCAAGTAACGATAGCTATCTGATCATGTTAGTTTTTTGTCAACCGTTACCTATAACACCATCTATTGCTTATACAAAGCTGATTTAATCATGTGGCTATCCATATCCGATTAATGTGATTTTTTACAGACATATAGTACTCAACGAGTTCTATACATTGAACGGTTCGGATTATCAAAACGGGATCTGTGGTGAGCCCCCATCGGCCCAACATTAACCCCCAATTTAATAAAAATATATACCTAGTTTTATTTTATTTTTCCTTTGGCGGCCTTTTCATCATTTCTCAGTACCAGTCATGTCTTTGTATTAAAATATGTAATAATTAATTTTTTTATTTTTAATTTATAAATAATGATAATTTTTTAACTTTTTTAATACATTTCTGATTTTTTAAATTTTTTTTAAATGGTTCCGATTCGTAGCTCGAATTTGGCTCGAATTCGGAGAAGAAGAAGAAGAGAGGAAGAAGAAGAAGAAGAGAAGGAGAAAGAAGAAGGAGAAGAAAAAATGGACAGGAGGGGGCAACAAAATCGGGTGGATGCGGAGGCGGAGGCGGAGGCGGAGGCGGAGGCGGGGCTGTGATGCGATGCGACGATCGGCCGACAAGCGACGAGCTACCCTGCGACACCGACGAGCTGCGACGACGACGACGACGACGACTCTGTTTCTCTCTCGCCTCTGCTCTTCTCCTGTGTTCAACTAAGAAGAAAAAGAAAAGAAAGAAAGAAAGAAAAGGACGAGAAATAAAAGGCAGGAAAAAAAAAATTTGAAACCCAAAACGACGTCGTTATAAGTTTCGAGTCGAATTCAGGCCACTAAATTTGAGTTACGAGTCATTTTCCTTTTGTAAAACCCCGAATTAGGCCTTAGTTTAAAGTATAGCAGTATATATATATACACAGAAACAGTTGTGGAAAACAAAACAACCGCGAAAGGCAAAAGGTCTCGCGAGTGATGGGATGTGTTATTCTTAGAAGCTTGTTGCTCAATGAATAGAATATTGCAAGTTAGAATTTATGAGCAAAACTCCTTTGTACACGCTCCTGGTAAGTGAAAAAATTCAATACAGTAGTAACACTGCAAGTCAATGATTACGTGATATTAATAGCGTTATGTATTTTATTTTGTAATTTTATCAAAGAATTACTTTATATTTATGATAAAAATACATAACATGTATTCAAAATTAGAAAATTTAACCAAAATCACTTTATTGGACTCTTATTTGATGAAAATAACAACTTAATTTATTTTGCTTCATAAACTCCTTAAAAGAGAAGGCACATAATTTAATATGGATAAAGTAAAATATTTTTCTTTTTTTTCTTGGATAATATTGTCAAATTAATATGTTACATTACTGTGAAATAAGGTAACATGTTACTGTTTACATCAATTTTGTCGATAATAATATATTTTTATTTTTGCAAGAATTTCATAGTCAACAGAGATCTTATTTGATAGATCTTGATGAGAGGATTTTAAAAATACTAATTTATTAAAAATCGACATCTAAATCAAAAGTTATATTATTTTTAAGTTTAATATTTTGATAATAGTGGTATATGTTGAATTTTTTAAGGAAAATATTTTGTATTTGTCTCTAATATATTAAAATTTTATTATGAAGAGATTTTGAGCAAATTACCATTAAAAGATATGTAATACTTGGATATGATATGCATTTTTAATGTTGTAAATTAAAGTTAGTGTAATATAAATCCTTTCTATAATGATTGCCATCTATAAATTTATTTTCTAAGTATTTTTTTTTTTTGTATTCGTAATTTTGACTTTATATCGAGAGGATGAGAAACTCTAACCTACGGGTTGTTGGCTGAGAGCCCTTTAAAAAAAAATTAGGTCAAGTTTAATATCATCAAAAAAAATTAAAAAAATTAAAAAGTCAATAAAAAAATAAAAAAATCCATACTATTTACCATTTTTTTTGGAGGGAAATCTATCAATTGGAAAAACAAAAAAAAAAAGTGCAAAACGGCGCTGCACAACGCTGTGCAGCCACACATCCCAATTGGTTTGATGACGTGGCACACTTCTAAGCCACACATGTCATAAAAAAAAAATTTGAAAAGGGACAGCAAGTACATTGCACAGTCCAGCTGCTTGTGTCAGCGAGGATAATATGGTAATTTTATAATTTTATACAATATTTTAATACACATTTTTTTATAAAAAGTCAAAAAATTAACCCAAACATCCATATTTTTTTTCTCAATTTTTTAATCTAAAAAC